AACCGCAACAGCTCAGCTTCCAGTTCGTCCTTTTATTACCACTGTCTCTTGTGGTTTGGGGATGCTTGCTTGTTGACAGTGAGAGGAGGGATGAGCGTAGCTGGATTTGAGATCCTCCGAGGAAAGCCTGCCAAACCCTCTTGGAGAAGATAAATATTTCTGCTTCTGTGGTTTACCGTGGCCCGGGCTCTGAATTGACATAGGGAGTGGATGTTCAAAAGGCTTTTTTTTTTTTTTTTTTAAATTAGGAAAATAAAAACGATAGCTTATAAAGTTAAGCCAAGGGAACAGTAGTTCTGACCTCCTTTGCTTTCCGCTGTGGAATGTGTCGGCAGTTGATACGGTTCCCTGTTGTTTTAAAAGTTCTTCCCCGGAGCCTTCGTCATCTCTGTGGGATGCGCAACGTTTCCACAGCTGCGATGCCCCTTCTCCCGTCTCCCCCATATGAAAACCAAGGAAACGGGATAGGTCGGGGCACCGCGTGTGTCCCCCGTCATGGCTTTCTCAACTTCTCCATCTGTGGCGATCGTACTTGCTGAAATCAAAGCGGGTTCTAGTTCAGACCTGTGATTTACCGGCCGCAGGAAGAACCACTCCCGGGGAGGATGACTTGTGTGCCAGGTTGTTCTTCACGGATCGCCTGGGTTCATTCTGACGAGGATCCCATGAGGAGGTGTCGCGTTAGGGAGGAGGAAAGCCAGGTGTGGGAAGATTAAGAAACCGCCCGCCACTTCGGAGCTCTTCGGTGGCAGACGGTGACTGTCTGTCGTGTGATAGTAGGGCGAACTCCAGTTTTATGTCAGGTGATACGGATTCAAGTTTCTTCCATCCTGAGGTCGGTCTCGTGGGGACAGAAAATGCAGTGATTCCGTGACGGTATCGTGAGGGGGAGGGCTTAGGGATGGTTTCCCGGGAGACAGGGTCCATCACCTGAGGCCCTGAGGTGCACGTGGTGTCAGAAGAACTGTGTGTTGGGCGTTTGGGACTGCAGCAAGGCGACGGGCCCATGTGGTCACACCCGGACACTGAGGTATTGAGTGTGGAGATGGGGAAGGTGACAGTGGCACCAAGGGTACAGCCCGAGGAGTCAGCAGGTCTTGGAGGCACATCTCAAATTGCACATCTCACGTTTACGTTTGTTTTTCTTTTTTAAATCGCAATCATCTGTGATGCCATTTTGACTGACTTTTCCAGCTTTAAAATGAGTATGACCCACTCATCTCTTGAAAGCTCCCGGTTTGTAGTGCCAAACCCTGGGTCTGGGAGCCAAGATAACTGATATTTCTTTCCTAGGCTCACATATAGCCACGGCGTCCCGTTTTGCTGTCTAGGATGTGCTGTAATGAGGGCTTGTCTGGAGAAGAAGGTCGGACAACTCCGAGAGACCCTGACAGCCCTATCTTTCGAGGATTTAAACACTAAGTCCTGTGACTTCAGCAAACACCTCAGCAGTGTTTTTGGAGGTTATTCAATGCAACGTTACCCCTTAGAGGTGGATGTGTACTTAAATTTACGGAATGATGCCAGTCCCAGCACCTTCTTAAGTATTTATGGCATGCATTCATGCATCGTCATCTTTGGGGATGTTTTGCAGTAAATAAACCTGCTGAATGGTGCTGAGCTCAGAGTTTGCCAAACCTACTCTATCACAGAACTCTTTTCTGGCCTATTCGTCGTTAACTCTCACGAGACAAGGGTGGCTTCAGAGTTTCTTAAATATATATGTCCTTACCAAATCTGGTTTTTTTGTTTGTTTGTTTTTTAAGTTCAGTGCAGGAATCAGTCAACATTTTCTGCAGAGGAACAGACAGTAAATGTTTTAGGCTTTGCAGGCGGATCAGTGTCTGTTGCACGTGGCACGGAAGCAGCCATCAACAGTAGGCAAACCAGCGGCCGTGACTGTATTTCAATAAATCTTTCATGATGGACCCTTTAAGTTGAATTTTATGTAGTTTTTACAGGACACAAAATATTTTCCTCCTCCTTTTTTTTTTTTCTCCAACCATTTAAGTCCATAAAGATCATTTTTAGCTGACAGTCTGTACAGAAATGAATGGACTGGGTTCGACCCGGAGGCCAGAGATTGACAACCTCTATTCAGTGGACAGTAACTCAGGATAAGGAATAAGTGCTTTATTTGGCCTCATTGTACAGTACCTTTAATATTTTTAAGGAGACTCAGATGTTTAGTGTATTTATATATTAAATAGAAACAAATGTTAAAGCTCCATCCACTCAGTAGAAAGCATCTGTCCCCTATCATTTAGAGCCTCAATATTGAGAAAGTTGAACAAAACTCCGCCTGTTAACAAAGGGTAAACTCGATGAAGATTTGTTGAATAAATATTGGTGAAAATCCCCACATTATAGAAGAAATCGGGTTAGATGTTATCTCTACAGAATGGTTTATTTATTACCACACAGTAAAGAAAACCTGTTCATGGTGTTTCAGAAAGGCCAGAGCACAGAATTTGAATAATAAAATGGAAGCAAAGAGTTTGTATCTCTCGCGGAGAAGTCCCTCTGTTGCTAATAAGATTTGAAAATTTGCGAAGGACTTACCCTGAGCGCCAACGAAAGAGCCGCCTTCCACATGGATCGACGTCCCTCTGAATGGAGCTGTTGTCACTGTCGTTTTTCTTCGTAGAATGCATGTCACTCCTCCTTCTGTGGCCTCTGTGTCATGATTGCTCACCTCCTCGGTGTTCCGCAGGTTCATCCCAGAGCCCTGGTCGGCCTGCAGCACCACGTGCGGCCCAGGCGTCCAGGCGCGGGAGGTCAAGTGCCGCGTGCTCCTCACGTTCACGCAGACGGAGACGGAGCTGCCGGAGGAGGAGTGTGCGGGCCCCCGGCTGCCCGCCGAGCGGCCTTGCCTCCTCCGAGCGTGTGACGACAGCCCGGCCTCCCTGGAGCTGGACGTCCCCCTGCACGAGAAGGACAGCCAGATGACCTACGACTGGGAGTATGCGGGCTTTACCCCTTGTTCGGCGACATGTTTGGGAGGTACTGGATCCTTTGCCGAAGGGACCGTTATGTTTGTCTTGCTGATGGTTTCAGAAATTACTAGATCGGTGAAGCCAAATATGCCAATTAGCAAAAGTCTAGAAGAGGTGAACTCGTTCAAATAACTGAAAACGATGCCTTTCCTTTTATTTCTTTTAAATCGTGGTTATCCTAGAAAGATAAAGGATAGTGGGACTATATCCTGACCAAAAAAATATTATGTTGTTTGGCCCAAGCAGCTGTATCAGTGAGACAGGGAGCGAGGTCCCTGGTTAACAAGAAATAAGTAGGAACATGCAGAACCGACAGGTGGAGGCCGTCTCGTGCTTAAGTCGGGTGCAGAACGAGGCAGCCTCGGGTTGCGGGGTCGGATGCTACGCGGTCAGAAGTCATCTTCAGCAGACATTTAGGTTCATCCCCGCTTTGAAATGCCACCGTGGTTAGAAGCACTGTTGCACCTAGCCCTCCCTCGTCCTTGATTTCATTTTTTTTCCTGACTGCCAAGGCCCCCTCCAGTTGGGGAAGCGTGGCGTGTTGTGTGTCTTTGGGTGTCAGCAGACCACTTGGAGTTGCCCCAGGAAAATGACCAGTGAAGTCTAATTGGGCAGGTCTGCTAGGGGGCATCTCTGCAGCCAGATGCCAAAATGTTAGGATCCCCCATGTTGCCGTGAAGATGGCCATAGGCTCTACTCCCAGGATGGCTCACCCCTCTGGGATGGTTCCTGTGACAGCTTCGTTAAGATATTTCACATACCATACCGTTTATGTAAACCATACAACTTGGTGATTTTTAGTATATTCACGAAGTCGTGCGACCACCAGGACAATCAATCTTAGAACAGGTTACCCCCAAAGAACTCTGCACCCTTAAGCGGTCACTCCCTGTTTTCCCTTCCAGTGTCAGCCTCCGGCAACTGATAATCTACTTTTCTGTCCATTCTGGACATTTCCTATAACTGGAATCACGAGATATGTGGTCCTTTGTCACCGCCTTCTTTCACGTGGTACGGTGTTTTCAAGGTTCTTCCCTATCGTAGCATGAATCAGTCCTCCATTCCTTTTTGTGACCGAATGCCGACCCATCACGTGGATGTACTGCCTTTTATTTATGCATTCGTGGGGCAGGAATTTGAGCGATCCTCACATCTCGGGTGTCACGAGCGATGATGCCGCTCTGAGCATTCTCGTGTTCGCGTGTGTTCTCACTTCCCTTCGGCATAGACCTAGGAGTAGTAGAATGACCTATTCACGTATCCCACACAAGCTTTGTGAAACTCGACTGAGTTTGTCCTCATTGGTGCTGAGGACCTTTCAGCCTGCCGTGAGAAGAGAAACGCCTTGCACGTGTCAAAATGCAGTTCGGGATTCAGATGGCTGATGTGAAGGTGCCCGTCTGCTTTCTTTCTATCTGGGACACATGTTACAAATCGGAACAAAGCTCAACTTGATAACCCTTCAACACTCAGACTGCAATTTGTCCGTGTGAGGGTGTGTTGTATTGTATGATCCTGGAATAATATCATTAAAATGAACCTTGGATACCCGGTAACCCAAATTATACAGCTAGGGAAACTGAGGCTCAAAGGCCATCATGTCATCCCAAATAGAAAATGAACAATATAATTGTCATTTTTTTTTAATAGGAAGTTGGTTCAACTATAAGTACATTTAATAAGTCTCCTAACTTTGCAAAAAGTAATGTTTTTAATTTCTAAGGTTCAAGCTTAAAGTTTTCTTTTAAATAGATAACTAAATTCCATAAAACTGAAGAGATCAGGCATGAAACCCAAATCCTCTATAAATACAGGGAACCGGGCACCTGCTCTGTGCTGGACTCCAGGATTCTGCTCTGGGTTCCATGCTCAGTCTCAAGAGATGACGTGAATAAGGCACAGTCCTCGTCTTGAGAGAGCATGGCTTTTGTTATACTGGTTTCACCTTCTCGGTGGCCCTGCTTACAGGCAGTGACACGTACCTCGCTGTGGATCGATCCATTTAAATGTGGTTTTGGAAGTCGGCTCCTGCAAGTCCACTTGTGTGTGGTGATGAATGTGGGTGTTTAACGCTCACTCTGGACAGCCGAGAGGGTGCGTCTGCAAAGACTTAAAACCACAGGAAAATCGGATTTCCATGTATAGTTGTTCCTTCGACATCTCTGTTTCTCATAGAAAAATAATGTATGCCATTTGCAGATTTCCAACGCGATAAACTTTTCGTCAGGTCCTGCTATCGTGTACTTGTATGTTCTAACTTATCATCGCGTCATACATGGAATAAAATTAATCCACTCGTTGTCATTACTGATGTTTAAATGCCATTCATAAGTCAGCTCTCGTACTGAAGTGGCAACAATTCTTTTCTAATTCCTCAAAGCATGAAGAATTTGGACATATTCAGTTTCCAGCTTCCAGAGTATATGTATGTAAGCATGCACGTAGTATTGTGTGTGTGTATGTGTGTGTGTGTGCGCACATATACATTCTGGAAGAAATGCTTCCTTTTTAATACCCTATGGTAAGGCTTTGTAATGTTCTACATCACGAATACGTCTCATCTGAGTTTTTCTTTGTATTTCATACTATTTGTTGCATGTATGACCTCTCATTTTTACCTCGCTGTCTCCCAACAGCACAGGCTAGTAGTATGTGCCTGGACAATGGGTGGGCCAGTTCGGTTTTCATTCCCATTTTCCCATTTGCGGGAAGGCGGTCTCGTCCTCCACCACGCGAGGGGCAAGATGCTGCCGACGTGGCACGTTACCACTGGCTGTTCTGTCCTCCCCATGTCACTTCGCGTCAGGACAGACCTCTAGCCGTAGTTTCTTCCAGCTCCTCTTGGGATAATTGGTCACTTCCTCTTGGGCTCCAGTGACGTTTTTGATGCCCTGCAGATGGCCAACTGGCTTTAGACAGCCCTTAATCTCTACCAGTGTCTCCTCAAAAGAACTCAACTATCTGGAGTGTTGCAAGGCTGGCATTTTGACATCAAGAATGATGCTGTCCTTGGGCACTCGCTAGGTTCGTAACATGTTATAGCTCTCCCTCTTTTTAATTACCTGGGAGCTTATAGTAGCCCTACCCAATCATGCTAGCTATTCAGCAGAGGGGAACATATACATTAACTAGGCTTTTCAATATGGCCCCAGGCATGGATCTGTATAATCCGTACGTGTGTACATGTGTCTGTGCTTCTTATGCGTTTCTGAAATAAAAACATCATGCTCAACTCAGCATCATAGGCAACGCTGTATGAAGTAGATCTGTTCGTTTTCATAACATGGTACGATCTATTCGTTCTTCTGTTATGGGTTTATAACGGCATTGCAAGATGAATTGGTGTTCTCCACACCCTTCAGTAATCTTAAATACTTCCTATCAGAAATTAACTGTTTAGAAAGTTTGAAAGAGCTGGTTCCCACAACTGTCTAAGTCCAACTTCCCTCCTGTTCCTGTTTTGGGGGCAGCATGGAGGAGAAATAGCACCCCAGCTCCATGCGGACCATCGCCTTCGTTTCCTCCCTGCTTATTGTTATGGTCAATTCAAGTTCTTAGCTTTTTAAGTAAATTCCACAATCTAGATTACCTTGGGGAAAAAGTTACCCACTTCGTGAAGCTACTGTGATTATTGTCCAGATTGTTCGTCTAGTCTCAAGTTGCTTTAAGCTTCCCTCGTCTCTTTTTTCGTGCTGTGTATGCTCTCTTTACTCTTGACCGAGGAGTTCTATAGGGAATGCCTTCTTAAAAATTCTCATGGTTGGATTTTGGGGGATTCATTGTTTATTGTTCATTTATATTCGGGCACTGGTAATGGTCAGAGAACATTACCTGTGTAATTTCTGGCTTTTTGAAATTATTGTAGTTTATTCTATAGACCAAGATAGGATCAGTTTTTGTTACTGTTCCATTAAGTGCTTAGAACGGGCGTAGAATATCTATTTCTAGGGGCCAAGGCTATTATTTGGTAATTGAATCAACGTAATTGTCTTATTCAAATCTTTTTCCCATATTTATTTTACCGCTTAATGTAGTAAATACAGGGTAGTACCTAATAGGCTATGGTTATAGATTTTCTCCATTGCTCTGGTATTTATTACGTGTGTGTGTGTGTGTATGTGTGTGTGTGTATTATTTGGCAGGTGGAATCAGTCAAGACTTGTTTGCAAAAACCCCAACTCACAACAGGTGGAATGAGTCAAGACTTGTTTGCAAAAACCCCAACTCACAAAAGGGAATGTATTAGCTCACTTATTGGTTCTGTTTACTCTCTTAGAGTCTGTGTTTTTACACTTTAATCATTAATTCAATTGTCAATGAAGGTGTTGAGTATTTTTTTTTACCAAAAATAATAATAACCTTATTTTGACATTACAGAAGTCAAATCTTAAGTGAGGGATGCTGTCTCATGCTACCAGAGGAATCTATTAGAAAAATTGGGATAAAATTTCAACACTTGATTTATATTATATCTTCTAAATTCATACTTGTATTATTACCCAAATTTCATTATGTGTAAGATGAAGTAAACTTATTTTTATAATTTTTACTTTTGAAGATAAAGGTTTGATCAAACCTTTTGAAGTGAAAAGTATGAAAATCACGTTGTCGGTCCAGTCTGTGGGATGGGAGTTATTCTTGTGACTGTCTTTGGAAAATACATTCTACCTCAATAAGTATCCTAAATTTTCGGTTAAGCTTACATTCTTTTGAGTAACTTGCTTGAAGGCGGAAAAGTTTGTCGTGAGTGTTATCCAATTCCATCCACAGTGGTTGAAATGAGATAACATTGATGCCTGGAGGCCCACCCGCTCAGTCTTCAGAAAATGTGCCAAAATAGTCTCCGAATCTATTTTTCTAAAGGATTTTGATTACAAAGGAAAATATATGTGGAAGACTATGGGATTTTTCTCAGATTAAAAAGAAATGCAGCCTGCTAGAAAATGAACATCTGTGTCCCCGTAAAGTCACCGAGGAAGTTGGACGTTTGCAAACCAGAACCAGAGTTGTGAGGCTGTAGAAGTGTCACCTTGTATCTCAGGGTGGCCAGTGTTTATAAAAAACAAGTTCGTGGAAGATGCATGGAAGTTTAAGACTGCATCCTGCCATGCATGGCCAGGAACACAAGATTGCAGCTGAGGAAAACAGGAGACAATTTAGTCGAAAGAACTGAACATCACACATACATATTTTATATATACTTTTGGCCCATACTGCATTCTGTAAAATATCGTAAAATGGTTGACTTGGAACATGGCAGCTGGAAAAGGAACCATAGTCTTGTAACGGAACACACATTCTCACAGGGAACTGAATGTGTTTGCATATTTCAAATAGCATCAACTGTTGCTATCACAATTTTTATTTGATTTTTTCCATCAAGAGCTTGATCTGTATTTCGTTCCGTTTTGATTTCTCAGTAACTGTTTACGTCTCAGAATAGTGGTGGAGACTTGGGCTTTGGGGATCAGGCAGACCTGTCCGGCCCCAGAGCAAATGCATATGCCTGTCGGCCTTCACATCTGAACGAGGCATGGGCCCTGCGTTGGGAAGCCGGTGGGCCGTCTTGCGTTTTGGAATCCAGGAGTACAAAAGAAAGCCTGCTGAATTCGGGGGCAGGAGATCGAATTCTTAGTTTCGAATCTACCAGTTTTCTGCTCTCTTAATTTTTCTCTCGACCTCAATTTCCTTATTATCAAATGAATAGAATGGAGATAACGACGTCACTCTTTCGGCCTCTCGAGATTATGAGAGGTTCCAATAATATACTTGAAAGCGCTTTGCATACTCCAAAGCACTTTTTCGAAGAGAGGTATGGCGATAGACCTATTGCTAATTATGATAAGAGTGGACAGGAACTCGGACCATAATGAGAATTTTTGTAAGGGTTCTACGTTGAATTTAGCACGTACGCAATTATATAGAGAAATGTTATTTAGCAGCTGAAATGCAAGTTCCTCTTAGACAAACTGCTGTGTGTGTGTGGGAGGAACACGTTGATGATTCGTTTGTGGGACGTTGACGATTCGTTTGTGGGACCTCCCAGCTCTGAACACATCTGGAATGTATACTGATCTGAAGGTAGAAAGGAAGTTGGGGATGTTCCTTAATGTTTCAGGGTGCATGCATTTGAGGGAGAGAGTAGAAAGGCTGATTTCAAAGGTGCTCAAGAGCATATCAAAGCCTGGGGGACTTCAGAAAATGTAGTCGTTGGCACCCACATCGACCCTGAAGGCAGCCCGCACTCAATCCACATAGTCGCAAGGGCAGTGGCTTAAGAACTAGCAGTTCCAAGAATCGGTTTCCTTTCTTCCATCAGTAAGTTATTCTAAGTCACTTGCATTTTTTTTCTCTTTCCCACCTTCAGGCCATCAAGAAGCGATAGCAGTGTGCTTGCACCTCCAGACGCAGCAGACTGTCAACGAAACTCTGTGTGACATGGTCCACCGCCCTCCAGCCATGAGCCAGGCTTGTAACACGGAACCCTGCCCACCCAGGTACGTGCCGTCTTGTGCTCCCGGGACACACCGTGTCTGGAAGGGGACACCCTCTCCTACAGAGAGTACACGTGTGCAGAGATCTCACCCCGGTAGATCGGCCAGGCCTACGTCAGCGCGTCCCCGTCTCTGCTCAACTCAGGCCCCAGCCAGGTTCTTGCTTCGATGTGCAGATGCCGCCGTGCTAAGCAGGGGTCCCCTTCAGCCCGACTCTCCTCTGCATCACACGTGAATGAACACCAAGTGGCAAAACTTGGAGGTCGGCAGGTTTGTTCTCTTTCTCCTCTCCGTCTTCACCTAATGCCACATGACGGAGCGCAGGCGAGCTAGCACCGGTACGCAGCAGGTGGCCAATCCATATTTGTCGAATGACTGAGCGATCACCTTTGCGTCACCTAGAGCTCACAACGGGGTGTTGTCAGTTGCCCTGCCCACTGACTTTCTTTGGTTTGTGCACCGGCCATGGACGGGGACCCCCCTTCCCTCGTCACTGTGCCTCAGCCAGAGCTCTTTGCACGTCATCTTCTGCAGTGTCTTCCTCACAGAGCTGCCAAGCTACGAATGAGTATGTCTTGGCCACTTAGCAAAATTAAGAGTCTGTTTTTTTATGCAAAGGGAAATACTATTCCTCGTTTCAAAGTTGTAGATTTAATAAACTTTTTGAAGGTTGGAAAAAAAAAAACCCGAACAGAGACAAAGGATCGATGCCAAAATAAAGGTAAGTTGACAAAAATGTTTTAGGTTCTAGAAACCAGTGGTGTAGGAAAAACAGGAACAGGGTGTTGCGTAATGTTTTCCATACAAATATTTACTGACTCCAAGGGCAATAGCAGGAAGATATCACCCCAGGGCGAAACCTACCACTGAGGTTTGGTCAGACGGTCAGCTGATCTTTATTTACCCAAAGGCAAATCCATTTGATGTGTTAGCCCAGACTCCGCAAGGTAGGGTGTTGTCTGTTTATTTGCTCTGTGAGGTTACTTGCCTGGCCTGGCCTGGCCTGGCCTGGCCTAACTGCTGAGTGTCTGCTATTTATGGAGTTTGCTTTCTCCAGGAGAGAGCCGGCAGCTTGAAGAAACATGCAGGGTTACATAACGATCCCACTGCTCTAAGGAGAGGCTTCTTCTCCTACAGGATTCAGCACTGTAGGGGAGGCAAGTAGGAAAGCGAGAGGGAAGAGTGATGTGTTTCTGGACCCACTGTTAACCGGTTCTTGAATTAAAAAAAAAAAAATTCTGTATTTAGTCTATCGTCTCTTAGTAAGAAATTATTACCCATTTCCTGGATGAAAATAGTTCCATTTCCAGTCTCTTGTGCCTCTAATGGATCCTTCTAGCTATATACTTTCTTGAAAGATGACTTCATCCTGAAGTCACTCCAAATAAGTTGCACACTTAAGCTGAACTGTTTTAATAGTGAAACAAACAAACAAAAGAGCCTTCTAAAAATTGAGCCATGTAGTCTAATGGTCATCAAAATATAACCTATATTTATCTACTGTCGGGGATTTCCCTCACCTCCAAAGCTCCTGGAAATTTCGATGGAATCACTTAGACTATAACTAATTAATAGGCTTCCAGGGAAGATGGTGTTTTAATTTCACACTCTGCCCCCAGTGCCGACCAATGGTAGATGCTGTATAAAAATAGGGAGATTGAAATGACACATCGAGGGCAAAATCATGAAAACCGCCACCTGGGCTAGGAAGGGGACGGAAGAATGAAGCGGTGAGTGGAACTGGACCTGTGGTTCTTCCAGGCTTGAGGCCCCGAAGCAGTCGGGGCAAATCAGGACTGACCGCCTTCCTCCTGATTCATGAGGAGAAGGACCAGGCTCACCGCTTCTTTGTGATGGAAGCAGATAAAAAGCTACTGCTGATCACAACCTGAATCCTTTGTTTCTATGAGGCTGCTCACCCAGGGAGTGAGGGACAAACACAGAGAGCCCCGTGACCAGACACAGCCCCAGATGACCTGTGGGCTCAAGGATCGGATCTTCCGTGCGCTGTCAGTGCTTCCGTGCCACGTTGTCCCTGTCAGACCTGGTCCTGGAGACCCTCGAGGGCCAAACGGAGGCCAAACCGTAGACAGCGTGTGTTAAGAGACAGAGAAAAGGAGGAAGGGAGGTGGAGAGAGAGAAACCTGTCTTTGGATTGAGCCTGCAAAATGAAATTGCAAACCACGTGAAGAAATCCAGTCCCAATGAAGATGGTCGCCAGATGGCACCACTGCAAGATGAATATACTCCAGACGGAATTAAAATACAGGAACGACCTGAAGAAAAGATGCGGAAGTCAGTGTTATTAGGATCTTTGGAGAGATAAATGAATAAATAATATCCATATGAAGAGCTAGAAATTATGAAACAGAAATAGGCAGATGTAGTAAGGATAGGCATTAAAAAGAATCAATTAAAAAACCTAGAAATGCAAGTCGATGAAATAAAAGAATAAACTATAGACAATCGAAAGAATGGGTGGCTTGAAGATAGCATTGAGGAAGTCAAATAAGTCAAAGCAGAGAAAATTGAAGATTTGGGGAGAAGAAAGTTAAGAAATATGTAGTTAATGGCAGAGAAGCGAACTATGAAATAAACTGTTCACTAACACTTAAAAAACATCCACTCCTCGTATCAAGAGAAGTGTATGAAAATGGATCCCCACTTAGGTACATCACAGTGAAGCTACAAGACAGGAAAGACGTATTAACGACAAAGAACTGAGCAGCTGGAGTTTTCAGAAAACAAAGGAATGATATATCTTCAGAATATGGAGGGGAAATCGTGCTCAGCCGAGAGCTGAACTTGCTAAACTTATCATTTCAGTACGTAAATGTGGACATCCAGGTTTAGCCTTATGATGGACTAGACATCCTGAAAGTCCTTTTCCTAAAAGCTTCCAAAATACTGGGTGAAATATGTAAAAAGAAATGTAGAACGGAGCTGGTAAGAAAGAAAGGGAAAACCCCAAACCGGCTGAAGCACGAATCTAAAGCGGCGACCCAGTGTGTGACGTGGAAAGATAAATACCGTGTGATTTCACTTATACTTGGAGTCTAAAATACACTGAGAGAAGCGGAGGGTAGGATGACAGTTGCCAGGGGCAGAGGGGAAAAAGGGTGGGAGGAGGTAATGGTGAACGGTACGGAGTTACAGTTATGCCAGACAAGTAGCTACTGGGGGTCTCCACAGCATAACACCTGTAGCTAACAATCCTGTATTGTACACATGAGATTTGCTGAGAGGGTAGATCTTATATTGACTGTTCTTATCACACGCCAGGTAATAGAAACGATAATGATAGTGATGATGATGATGATAATAAAGGAGGTGGAAGGAGAAATCGGGAGGCGGTGTACATGTCTGTGGCCTTGATGGTGATGAGGGTTGCCCGGGTGTATGCTTATCCCTAAACTCACTGAGCTGTATGCATTAAATACAGCCTTTTACATATCAGTCATACCCCCAATAAAGTAGTTTTTTAAAAAAAAAGGCTGTCCTGAGAATTTAAAAACCACAAGGAGTTCTTTAAGTAGGAAGGAGCTTTGTAGTCATTCGGATTCTGTGATCTGAAATATTAATTCACATTGGCCTTGACAGAGGAAGTGCAAATCCTGTGTGGAGGAATGTGTCTTCCATTCGTGAGTTAAAATTCCCACAAAGGCGTAATGAGTGGGAGTCCATAATTTAAAAAATTTACTGTCTTTCCACTGTTATAAACCACCCTTTTATGTACATTTTAAACATTTTAAAATTATTTCCTCGTGTAATGTCTCTGCAGGAACTAGTTAAAAATTTATGTTTGCTAATAATAAAATATCCACAAATTGAAATAACCACGGTGCACAATTTTTCACCCATCAGACGGGCAGAGACTCTTTTAAATGGCGCTACCTGTGTTGACATGGGCGTAGGGAACTAGGCACTCATGCCTCTGGTGGGGGCCTGAACTGAGAGAATCTTCTTTGAAGGCAGTTTAGAAATATGCACGAAAAGCAGCTGCCCAGGTTTTCCATTTTCACAGATGTTTCATGAGAAAACCCAATTTTTCCAAGATCTTATTGGAAAGGAATCACATTATGAATATGTATGGTAAATCCGATCCCAACACAAAAGAATTTTTCTAGGGGTATTCCAAATAATGAATCTAGGTGCCCCGAAAATTTCCTGAAGTGTCAGCTTTTCAGCATTTAAAATTTCTTCTGACACCTGTATACATCATCCTTGCCTTGGAGCTCCATGCAAAACAAAACCGAGATTTTTTATTATGGCTATATGGCGGCAGATGAAGACGGGGAGACACCTGCTTCTTTTTGCTCTGGGCTTTCCCGGATGGGTAAAATCTTTAAACACATCCCTGATGTTTCTTGTCTGTTCACGTCGTCCTTCTGTCTACACACTCCATCGCGTGTACCGATGGAGTCCTGTGGCCACAGGCTGTGCGTGGAGTGTGAGAAGAACCTGAAATTGTACCTGCTCTCACTGTTGCTCATGGACTCATGGGATCCTCCAACTCCCCCTACTTTTATTTCGATGCAGGTGGCACACGGGCTCCTGGGGGCCCTGCTCAGCTACCTGTGGCGTTGGAATCCAGACCCGAGATGTGCACTGTCTGCACCCCGGGGAGCCCCCCACCCCTGCTGAGGAATGCAGGGACGAGAAGCCCCATGCCTTACAAGCGTGCAATCAGTTCGATTGCCCTCCTAGCTGGCACATTGAAGAATGGCAGCAGGTATGGCAGCCTGGTGACTCCATGGCCAGCCCGCCACGCTTGGAATCGCGAGAGTCCCACGCTGACCCGCCTCCCTTTGCCTCCTCAGTGTCCCAGGACATGTGGCGGGGGGACTCAGCATCGGAGGGTTGCCTGCCGGCAGCTGTTAACGGACGGCAGCTTTCTGAATCTGTCGGATGGATTGTGCCAAGGGCCCAAGGCGTCGTCTCGTAAGTCCTGTGCCAGAACCGACTGCCCTCCACACTTAGCCGTGGGAGACTGGTCGAAGGTAAGCCCCGTCCCCACCTGGACCGTCCCTGCCACCTTGTTCCTCCTTTGTCTCAGCCTCTAAGTCTTTCTTCCCCAAGATGAGAGCTGGGACTCGGGTGCAGTGAAGTCTCCACTCCCTCAAATCCTAGAGCGCTTCCCAGCCTTAACTCACAATCGTTATTGCATGTCAACGGGGAGCTACTTCCTGAGCATCCATATGGTCTTCCCATCTGGCTTACGGTGTCCTTGAGGCCAGCGGCCATGAGATCGCTGGCAGGTCCTACAGAGCTCCGAGTGGGTAAATACTCTTCTCCTCAAGAGTCTCTGCACGGTCAGGAGAAACACAGAATAGTGTTGAAGTCATGATCTCTAGAGAAGCTCAGACCTGCAGACGCAGGACAGGAAAATCATTCAGTGTGCGGAGTCTCGCTGGGAGGCACAGGTGGAGACGAAAGAGGAGGCGACCCACCCGAGCTGGGTTGGACCTGAGGCCGGTCAGTTCCCT